AAAAAAAAAAAAAAAAAACTTCTTTAGTGACCGCGATCTCTTTATGCCCTCCACCTTGCACAGATCGGTCGACCCTCCACCAGAGGCTGCTCCTGACAGGCTTGGCATGCCCAGATGCGCAGATCGAAGCGCGTGTTACATAATGTGATGATCGCAAGCACAGCAGTTGAAGCTGTAGCCTACGTACTGTCGGCAAGGCAACTATCCCTAGCTGCAGATATGGAAAAACTATACAGGACCGCCATTGAATATCTACTCCTATTGCCATCCTTGTTCCTGATTTTCCCTGAACAACGGAGATGCGTTAAACAAGAAAAAGTTGACGTTGGGAAGGCTACCTGCCAATATCCCAGAAAATGCTTTCTTTTAATCTTCTTCCACCATCAGAAGCATCTGCATTGAAAGGATATTAGGACAAATTGATTGACCTCGTTGCTGCAGAACCCGACAAAAGTGATATGGGGTTCGACGTGAAGCTACGGCAGTGCAGGCTTGCAATTTGAGACCTTTGCTAAAGAGTTAGACCCTGCCTGCACACATGGCGTAGGCAATGCACATCACAGCTGCCTCACAGTAACGACTTCTTCAAGTTCAGGCCTGCTTCGCACAGAAGCTCAAGAAATTGGATAGGGTCAGGCAAGCTTTGGCCAGGGTCGGATATTGCATGTCTCTACCGTGAGACGCTATGTGCACCAAGTGGTAGGGCGCAACAAACAGATCCGTTGGGTAGTTTGTGGACTTTTTGCGCGGTACCACGGAACCGGTTGCAAAAGGCATACAGCTTGACTGCAGCTTGTCACAGCTGCATGGGTCTAGGCACTGCAGAGATAATGGCTCTGCAGCTTGCTACTCTCGCCCACCAAATCAAAGCCCAGTAAACTGCGGTCGATGCAGCAGCAAATCCGGCTGAAACCTACTTGTTGCACTTGATCATTGTGGCCTGATATCCTACTTAAAAGGATTTGAACCCTGGAATATTCCTGGGGCTCAGGCGATAGTTTTTGCAGTGCCGAGTGGATCCTCTCTGCTCATCTTCGCTCTGCAGAGTGTGACACAGTGCAGATGCGTGCAAGCTTCGGACTCCGAGAGCCTTAATTTGACGAAATGGAAGGTACGCAAATCTCGCGGAATCTGCTTTCAGCAGCAGTTGCCAGTACGGCTCTGTAGAAATCACATGACAAGAGAAGCTGATGGCGTAATTGCTGATACTTATCGAAACTGACTCCTAGCAGCTGAGAGTTTGATAAACCCGGTGGCTCCTGGGAGTGGCCTTCTTGCGAGGTGATGCAGAAGAAGATGGCAAAGGCCACCGGGATGTACGAGACAAAGGCCATAATCTCAATAGGGTGCTGGCTACAGTTCTCTCAATGTGGATCCTATACAAAGAGGTGCACCTCTGAGCTGTCAGCATGTTAACAGTCTCAGAGTCCTAGGGCTCATCGCTGAAAGGCGAAGGTTGAGATAGACGAATAGATGTCACAAGACTCCTTCTTGAACAGGCTGCAGGCCAGCGTCGTGCAAGGAGCTTACAAACGGACATGTGCTGCTTCCTTCCAACTGCTTGTGAGGAAGGAGTTGCAGATCGAGGCTTAAAGATGCAATATATGATGACATTCGATTGATTGAAACATGAATGAGAGTATCAAACGATGGGGTAATCCAGAAGAGGTGCTCAAACTGGAGGTGGTGACGGGATCCACTTTCTGCTGACAAGCAGCATTTTCCAACGAGCTCTTGGAAAGGCCATTCTCACCTGGGCTTGGGAGGTTTCAGTTCGAGAGGTGGGGCTTGAGGCTGTGCAGACGGCATCTTGGATTACGGCCTGGCTTCCCGCTAGCAACTTCGTCTGTCTGCTGTTAGCAGCAGCGTTTCAGCTGGGGAGGGCTTGCATGCACGCACATAGGGTCATCAACCTGTGCTATTACCTTCGTACACATTCCAGCCTGTGGAATACATGCACACACACACCCTGCCGTCGCAGAAAAAAGATGAAAGAATGTAGCTTTTCGGATGGGTGTGGTGAAATCGGTGTTGTTCGGCCAGAAAAAATATTCTGTGATTCTGGGATATTTTGGGAACCCTGGGCAATCAAAACGTCAAAAGCTCTCAGGCAACGCTCTCGAGACATGTAAAACATCTCAACCGAGGAGCTCGGTGACACGACTGCGTCCATGGCACAGGCGAAAATCTAATTATGCACGTGTTTCTTTTGGGATGAAAGTTAGGGCTGCTGTTGTCGGTGCGTTCCGGCATAGCAACGCCTCCTTTGTTCAATGAGAGAGTGGCTGCAGGGTCTGCAGTCGGATAAGTCACGCACTGTCAGCTAGCCCGAGCCTTGAGTTCAAGGAAAAGCCAGCGTTCCCTGCATTTATGTGGCGGCAGACTCAAAGCTCGACAGGAGCGCCTTTGTGCCAAGTAGATATGTCCGCGCACTACCAGAATGAAGAGACAAACAACTACAAGACTTGTGCCTTCAGAGTTGCGCATGCCCGGCAGCAAAGCAAGCATAGAGGGTCTTTTGCCCGGGCTGCGGCTTCCGGATCCATACCGGGTAGGCCCACTAATCAGCTTTGGTGTTGGAGGGTTCGGCTTTGTAGCCAGAAACGTTCTCGTTCTCATGGTCCCAAGTTCTATCATTGCCAGTATACCAACTTGGCAGGCAATTTCAATGCCCACAACCATTCCGTGGCTTCCAGCTGCACAGGGCCTACGTGGTAGTTCTGCAGGTGATACCTTGCTCCTTGGACCGGCTTCAGCACAGGGACGCAAAGTGGGTGAGGACCCTGAGTCTTGATGGCTGACATACAACTTATGATTGAGAGATGACTTTTCTGAACCAAGAAATCCAGAACCTCTCACAACGCAGGATCTAAGATTTCGGACGAGTTCTGCAGGGTATGCCGAGGTGGTTAAGAATGGAGCCAGACGGTCCACAAAAAACCTTCCAGCTCATGCTATCGGCGCACCTGAGTACAGCATGCTTCAGGGGCCATGAGGGCTTCAAATCGCTTGAAGTCCTGGGTCCCAGTTCCTGAGCTTGGGGTGTGTATTGAGCGGCAGTTGGGCTCCGCCGTGTGAACATTGCGGATTCAAGATTGGGTACCAAGTTTGCTGAAGTTCGGGGCCACGCCCGTAGCCGTGGTAATCTAGGCTTGGGTATTCGGGTCTACAATCTGACTCAGCTTGGCCTCGGCTAGGCAGGGGCTTGCCTCGGCAAGCCCAAGACGGATTGAGAATGCCTGATCCCGTTTGCACTCATATGTGGAATGCGCATACATCCACTCTGTTGTGATTCTGTTGTGATAGCAGGCACCTAGCATGTCTATCTGTGTACAACTGGAGAAGGCAGGTTCTCAAGACAATCCGAGACCACTCTGACGTGTGCCAGATTCATGATGCCGCCTGGATGTTCTGGTTGCTCCCAATCTTACGATGGAAATATCTTCGTTCTGAGTGGACGTTCTGTAACAAGGATTGCGGGAAATCTTCTCAAAACGAAGCTCAACATCTGGGGATGTCTGCTGCCTGGCAGATTGAGAAACCTGACAGCTGTGAAGGAGCTATTCCTACTGCATACAACAATCATGATCAGAGAACCGTCAGCACAAAGAAGGGCACTATACCGGCAGAGCCAGAAGAACCCACGAACCTTCTTCAATCAGGGACCATACATACAAGAAAAACGCACCTGAAGCATTCAAACCAAGAGGTTTCAACCCTGGCGTGACCATAATGCACACTGTAGCCTTCTTCTTGGCAGCCCCGGAAGGAGACTTGCTCGTTGGGCTTCTTCTCTTAGCCTTCAACAGGCTTTGAAAAGGCAGGGCGCGCATGGAAGCACACCTGTTGAACCGGGGCCCGGATCCCACGTTTCAGCTCAGGCTGTTCAGACTCGGTAAAAGTCTGTAATACAGGCACCCCTGTTCACTTGGAGCAGTCGCTCCTTACCGCACCAGCACTTTGTTTTGTTGCTCGTTTACGCGAAACTGGCTTCCCAGGTGAGATCACCAGCAAGTGGGTAAACGGACCTTGAGGAATTACACCTTCAGCTCTAACAGGTAAAGTATCTTCTGGCAACAATTTGTTAATGCTCTTTACCTGTAGCCCTTTTGCCTGGTGCGGAGCTACTTGCAAGCCACTTGCAGCTCTCAAGCAGAGCCCCGGCAGGTTGGCAAGTCAGCTTCTAATACAAAACAATCTCGTTGCTCGGTGAAAGAGCTTCCTTTGCAGATCAAAAACTTGATAATGACAGATCACTCAGTATGCCTTGCTCGTCCTGACGAATGTCCCACAAGCAAATAATTGCTCTGGACAAGACCCTACCCGGTGTGACTCGTGCTGCTTTTGGAAAACTCATGCACAATCGGGCCTGCTTGGCTTTATCTTTTTCTTTGTCTTTTTCTTTATCTTTTTCTTTGCTTTTGTCATTGTCCCTGTCCTGCCAGGGGCAATGAGCAAGTTGAATCATCTGAAGGCGAACTTGCAAGTTGAAGGGAACAACTAACGCGGACACCTATGGCAGTTGCAGCATTGCTGGCTTGTAGGTCAAGGAAACTGATCAAGTTTTGACTTCTTTCCTGTGCTGGTACCAGTGAATGTCAGCCCAAGAAAGGCCGCAATACAGAACACCGTTTGCCTCAAGGCAGAAAAGAAATTTGTACGCTTTCTTGCAGACTCTCTTCTCAAGAGTCCTTGTCTTTTTGCTTGCCTTCCTTGTCGGAATCTTTTGCCTTCGCCTTCACTGCGTTGACACAAACTGGTGGCAAGCCACACACTGTTACGTTCAAACACCGCTCAGACATCGTTCTCGTTGCAAGTATACGTAATGTTGAGGATGGCAAACAACATAGTCTTGTGCACTGCGATCCTATCCACGTCAGAGACAGAGGGCTGCATACAAGGTGAAAGGTGAGCAGACTGCTGGGCAGAGGAAAGCCTTTTCCTTGCCTTTCTCACGCTCGCGTTCCTGTTTATCTCAGGGAGGACTTGGTTGCCATCAGGAACCATGCAAAACCCTGATTTTACAATCAGAAACCGCTTCGCTGCTGACATTAAATTCAAGTTCTCAGAACCTGCGGACTGCGGGATTTCAAAAGAATGTTTCTAGGGGAACCTCAGCTGCTAAATCATGCAACCCATCCATTAGATCAAGTGATAGCTAAGCCTACGTAAGCCCACAACCAGAGCTGAGGATCTGAGATTTTGACAAGCATGGCTTTTAGAAGGGTCTCACAGCAAAAAGCTGTGAGTTCCCTGAGTTGATGGTCTGGGGGATGCCATGGGCTGCACAATTGGTGATTCTAGTTTCAATCCCGTCCTGCCTGGCAGTGGGTGCACTCAGGTAATTTTGGGGCCAAGGGTCAGACGCACGTATGCTTTAGCCAAGCCTGCCACTGTGACCTGTCCGAATCAAAAAACGTGCAGGTCCAGTGTAGGAGCGACATGGATGAGGACCAGGACGTTTAGTTTCAAATCCCAGGCTTGAGGTCAAAAGCCTTCCGATGCCAAGTTCGGTTCACTTGGATTTGGGATGTTTTGTCTTGCTTGACTAGCTTAAACGACTCAGCAGCGCTCCTTCTCTTTCTCGCGCTCCTTCTCCTTTTCCCTCTCCTTCTCCTTTTCCTTGCGCTGCCTTTCTTTCTCCTGATCAATCACAACACGACTCACCATACCCTCAGTGCATGTAAAAACTTCGGGGCTTAATTGGCCAAACTGCTTGAGACTGGCTTGCAAAATCTGAGTATCCGCCATGACTCGTCCATGGGGTCCACTAAGTGGTCTTGAGCTGGAACATGAGCCCGTGAGGCATTGCGTTCAATTCGCATGAACTGGGCAACCCCTCACTGCCTTCCCACAAGGGCGCAGAAGCATGCTCAACAAGTTGACGGCTAGAAGCACGCAGGAAACTTCACACACGTACTGAGGTATAAGTTATAAGCGATGATGATAATGATGACATATCATCGTGATGATGATGATGATGATGAAGATGATGAAGATGCGGCTATAGCAGCTGCTGCCACAGCTGGCTTCAACTGCGGATGCCGCAGCTACGTCGGCTACGGCGGCTGCTACGGCTACGGTTACGGCTGATGCCGCTCAATCAATTTCACTTTGGCGAAAATTACCTGAGGAACGGATTACCACCACCACCGTAGTCATCACCGCAGCAATATTGGCAATGCTCTCTTCAGTCCTGGGCTTGCTTGTCCCTCTCCTTCTTTAGTCTCTCCTCCGCCTCCTTTGCCTTCACAAGCGCCATGTTCAGGTGGCTTAGCAAGTTGCTTCAGCGCCCGCAATGCGTCGTGTCACATGACCGTGTCACTACAATCGCTTGAGTGGATGGGTTGAAGAAGGCTCTGGTGTGACTGACCTTGAAAAACCTAACACTCACAACTCAAGACCGTATAAATTCTGGATTCCGCATGCAAGCAGGTACAACCACTACTCTGCTTCCGCTGGTTTGGCGTTCGTGCTGGTGTCACTTTTCAAAGATGCTTGCAAACCCCAACTCGAACAGTGTGTGCAGGGGCCATCTGGATCCACGCTGCAATTCCGCCGAGGCATCACCCCTTCACCAAGGTTGAGTTCGCTTTCGCGTCCAGAAGACATAGCAGCAGCACAAGTTGCACAACCATCAGACATGACCCATTCATGCCTCCTTTTCTTCTTGCTGCTTTTTCCTCATGTCGAGTTTGGATCGAGTTTGCAGATTGAAGTACCAAACGGAGCTGAGCAAACTGTCAAAGTTTTGTCAAGGTTTGTTGCGAAGGCTTGCCACATTACGCAAGGCTTTTAGAACATGGCAAATGGGGCGTGCGACTGAGGAGCTTGACAAAGTTTCGCATACGTTGCGATTCCATCTTCTAAGGGTCCGCAAACAGCTGTTAGGAATAAAAGATTAACATGGCTCAGAGCAAAATCCCACTATAGACCCCACAAAAATACAATCCTCATTATCGGAAAGTTCATGCAACCTGCCCTGCTACAGTAGGGGCCAGAAGCAGTAAGCCGAATCTGACCCAAAAAAGATCTCTGTTAGGGGGAGCACAAAAGGCAGCCATCTGCAGATGCTGCACAATGTATACGATGAAATTGAGTTTGGAGACTGCGTGTGTTGACTTGTGGACTTGTCCTAGCAAATTCCACCAAGCTGCTTCTTCTCGCGTTCCTTCTCCTCCATGAATTATTGCGGGAGAGGCTGCAAAGCTTGCGACTCGCGGACGTGAAGCAAACTGCCAAGCAACTCACTAGCTGTACATCTGAACATGATCTGATATCAATACAAAACGCTTCCCGAGCAGAGCTTCAAAAGTGCAGGCTACTTTGCTGAACCTGGATACGCCAAGCAAAGCAGCTGAATGCAAGTCATGAGTTCGCATAAAAAGTGTTATCGCCCGACTCCAAGCTTGCTCGTCCAGGGTATTTAGGGCCGTCAAGGGGAGCGGATGGCACCTTCTCTCGCTCTTTTTCGCGCTCTTGCACCTGCGTCATGTCAAATGAGGCTCGGATCTAAGGCTGATGCCAAGGTTGAGAGCGTGGGTCCAGCAGCACTGCATGACCAAGGCTTCTGAATTCTGGGGAACATCCATGACGAACCTGAGATGCCTGAAAGCTCGGAGTCCAGACTCACATTACAGCGGCACATCACTTCGTAGTCCTTTCCGATGAGCGGCATACTTTACTGCAGGAGTGCGTCTCTACACCAAGTACCAACTTCAGCTGCACAGGCACACTTCCTTTCAGGAAAGCCTTAGAAGTTGCCAAATGCAAAACAGCACTATTGTGTGCCTGCAGTGTACCAAGTTCTCGTGAACAAAGGGCCCTATGACATCAAGCAAGTTCAGGCAGCTTCGAGAACAGGAGGCAAAAGGCTGCACATGCTGCACGAAAGACGCTCTCCAGCGCATATCCCATGATCGCAAGCCTTCGCGTCCCCGTCCCTCGCTGCCTCCAGGCATAAACACGCTTCAGGTCCGGCTTGTAGGTGGATTGCACTGAAATTGGTGCAATGTACTAGCTTCGAAGCACGATCTGAAGAACAAATAGAGCTCGGTGTCTTGCACCCGAATCGTTCTGATAATATGCGGACTGCCAGTGCTGCCTTTCAAAGAACGTAGAGTGGGCCGTCCAGCCTTCTTCGCATCGCCGCGCTTGGCATCGTGTTCCTGCTACCAGTCACTGGTCGAGCTGTTGGTCGGTGATTCGCTTGCTGCTGTTGAAGCCTTGGGGCTTTGTCTTGCTTTCTTGCAGCTGACGGACTGACCAAGTGGTGGACTTGTCTGCTTGCTGAACTGTTTGCCTTGCTTGAATGTGCAGTGCTTACATGTGCTTACAGCGGCTTATACAGTTTACGGCAACCATCACTGAACTCGCAGTTGATTCGTAACACCGTGCTCAAGGCAATGACAAGACATCTAGAAGACTTCTGCTTAGGATGAGGGGCATGGGAGAGATGGTTCTGTACTCTCCTCATGGAATGGGTGCAGTTTAGGCCGATGCAGGATGTTCATTCCTCGCTGCTGATTGGGTTGCAGTGCTGGGCTTGTTGAGGAAGCAGATTAGGACAAATTTTGCAATGTCTTCGGTATGAACTCCTGTGGCCCTGTCGCTGGCCAAAACACTGGCTCAGGCCAGCTTCGGACCCCATACCGTACGTACTCGCAGCCTTTAAGCAGGTACTTCCCGCGGCAGTGGGAGACGACATCTGCAACCACAGGCGACCTTCAAGCTTGAGAACCTGCCGCGAGAAGCCCTAAAGAAGGAAACCAAACTTTCCCAAACCTCTCAAGGGCGTCCAAGCAATGTGAGGGTTCTTGTACCTCATGTATCTGGCGCCTCTAGCATTTCCTTGCGCTTCTTCTTGCAGGCATCCTTTGCGAGAGCCAGGGCAGGAGCTGTCGTGTGGGAATTTGTTTCCCTCCAATCTTCTTTGTAAGTCAAGCCCACACGTAGTAGCTGCAAGGCTAAGTTCCAATTCATGCTGGCATCTGGGGATCGGCGATTTCTGCATTTCTGCAGATCTCGGACACTTGACAACAACATTCAAACCTGGGTCCAAACTTCTGTACCTCGGCACACCTCAGGCTCACATCTACTTGGCTTGATAGGATTTTGTGCGCTGCTGCAAGGTCTTGTCTGGGACCTGCAGATATGCACAGCCAACACTGCATCTTGAACCCTAATGACTACCGCCGATGACGCCCTACATCGACCTTCCGCTTCGGTCCTGGATGGCATCGCGGTGGATGCCTTTCAGCTCCAAGCTGGCACGAAGCTCCATCACCTGGATGAGGCATGCCACACTCTCCACTCTCCGCGGCAAGGTATGATTCCTGGTATGATGATCCTCCTCCTTTGGCAAGGCTGGGAATTATAATGTATACTTCATGATGACTGGAGCTGCTGGAAAACACGTCATTCCGATTTCTTGTTGTGACTGCAGCCCTCCTGGAGGAATCCGATCCCTACTGGTACTTCAAGATGACGGGGGCAAGCACTTTCTCTTCAGGCATGCACAATTTTCCAGATAATCCAGGTGCACGAACAGCACCATTCCAGCGCTAGAAGGGCAGAGTTGAAACTTAGATTCTACGGTCTGAAGATGTCTCAAGTACTTCAGCAGCGACTGCAGGATTCAAAGGATTCGGCCCGCCGAACATCTTCTGCGCGCAGTGCATCAACTTTGGATGATACGGGCAGGCAGGAAGCTTGTTCAAGCAGTATGCAGTTAGACAATGAAAAAGGACCCTTGCCCCATCTTGAATTTGGACAGGGATGCGGCTACGATCGTGTCCTGTGGATCTATGCACGAATCTCTGAAGGGCGCTATGCCCCTAGCCTGCAACCTTCCCCTGAACCCCGTGCCTCCAGGTCAATATCCCGAAGAAGATTCTGGTGTACTTCACTGTTGGGCTGCTCCTGGCATGCTGCGAGCGTGCAGGAACGCACGTAAGCCGTGTGTACTTGTGCAAACAGTCCCAAGCAGAATCTTAGCCGAATGAGTAAATTTCACTCTCCATTTGGCTCTGCTCTGTTGGAAACTCCACTCACTCCACTCAATGTCTTGCAGCCTTTGAGGACATCTTCCAAAGCTGGTAAGGGAGGAGATTAAGCGAGAAACCTTCCTCTCTACAGAGACGTAAGCGTGCAGTTGCGAACATGCACCGAAGCAGCAAGGAAGCCTTTCCTGCACTGAGTCGACAACTGATTTGAGGTGAATCTTTAACAGCCACCTGACGCCCTAAGAACATCTAAGGGGCAGAACTCATCTCCCGAAACCCACAGGGGAACAGGCAGAGTGGCCATCTGGAAAATCTCCCGAAGCTCGGCGGGTTCCCTACACTACCAGCACTACGAACTTTCCTCCCACTTCTAAGCTTCCCTTTTCAACTCATTGCATGTCTCCAGCTGCTTTTGCTCCGCGAACAGTGGGCAAGCTCGATGCACGACAGCAACGTCGGCGAAGGGTAGCCTTTCCAAAGCTACACCTCAAACGGGTTCGCGGTCAGCGGATTCAGCTCGCATGGCATAGCTACACGCCACTTCAGACTTCAGAGTTAGGCTGAGTCAGTTTTCCAGATCTACATGGAGACGACTTGCTTGCATTATAGAAGCCTGGAAGCGCTTCCATGAATTTACCGGCGACAGGTTGCATAAGAATGTCCTCACAAACTTTGACCGCTCTTCCACCTCTTAAAGCGGAACCCCCAGCCGCATCTCTCGGCACAAAAGCAAGAAGTGATGGATGCTGGTAAGCTCTTCGTGCACTTGGCTACAGACAGCAGCCAGCATCAACATCTTGCCTATCAAGTAACTTTCCGCACAGTTAAAAAGGTCTGCAGCAACTAGTGACACGCGTGCTGCAGGTGACGCACTGAAAAACAGCCTTGAGCATCATCCCAGGATACGAGAAAAGGACCACAGAGAAGTTGACTAATGCGTAGATGATCATACATGGATCCAGCACTTTGCTAACTTAATGCACACCTTAGGCATGCCGCAAGGCCGTCGACCATTAACCTTCAGTTTGATGTTCCTGTCAGCTTTGCGCCTTCAGGGTGCAACGGCAACAGCCTCAGTCACCAAGCGGCCTTGAAGACGTTGTTGGCTTGCGATGTGGATATCATTCGGTATCAAGCCGAAACATTTTTTAGCTTGAACCGTAATTCCAGAGATGCAAAAGATGTTTTGTTGCCAGGCAGGTTCACTTTGTGTGTGTGTGTCTACCTTCCATGGTTGTCAGTTTGGGGCCTGCCGTGTCACGTCTACCTTTGTCAATTTCAAGTTCCAAGGCGGGCTGGGATGGAGTCGAGAATCGCAAGGCGCAGAGCGCAGGGCTTCTGCCAACCTTCCATGTGACATGTTTCACCCTGTGAAGTCAGCAGCCGAAAATCTCAGTGTCAGACACTGGCGTCAAGCAGAAACATACGCCTCACTGACAACGCCTATAGTTCCAGCATGAAATGTGGCCACTTGTATAACATGGTACAGTACTTGCTTCACTTCGGCAGGCCTTCACTTGCAAGTTATGACAAACCCCAACAAAGGACAGCTGAACCCAACAGATTGAAAAGCAACTCATGCAGAAGCCCTTTCCGCAACCAAGAACCTCCAAGACGACTCCGACTGGCAAAGGTGTAAGACAAATCAGAACTGTGCGGTACCCAGAATACAGACTCAATGCACCATAAGCATTCCTGCAAGTGAATCCCCACTAAAAAGTCCAGATAACCGGATAGCCCAAAAAAAGGCCCCGAAGCTGAAAGCAAAGGCAAGGACAGGTGTGTCCATGAAGGCGGCCATCATGACCTTCCAGAGGCTTCTAACTTCATTGTGGCTGCTGCCAAGAATGCTGCCAATCTCCTTCGTGCAATGACAGCCTTGAGATTGAGAATCCATACATGAGTCCTGGAGCCTACATGCATCGTAAGCACCAGGGATCCGACACAGATACCGGGGAAGGCCTTCGGATGGTGGGTAGCATCCGGATCTATTGCCCGAAGTGCTAGGAGCCCAATTCACTGAGGTTAATCGAGATTCAGCAAAGCTTTTATTTGATCTTGGAATAAGACCTATCCAGCATAATTTCGAATCAAATCTCTAGAGGCTACCGCACGACCCCTTCAAATAAAACCCCACCAATAAACAGAATGCTATCCATTTGGAGGGCCACATGTGGTAGTGAGATGAGGCGAGTACTTGCAATACATGTCAGCTTTCGCCGCGCCAATCTGCGCACCCAAGTCTTTTCCCCCTTCTCGACTCACCCTGTGTGTTCGCGTGCAGACTGAAGCCTCAGCCAGCCCTCAGCATATGCCTCAACTCCGTTAGCCGTCGTCATGAAACACCTGACACCCCATAGCCGCCATAGCCTAAACATTTAATAAGCTGGAAACCACGCGGCCCACCTGGTACCAAGCAGTAAGCCCGATGACGGTCATCATGGCAGTGCAAGCTCCTAGTCCGTAGACCTCATGAAGATGTGATCCCCAGATTTGTGTGGTTCTCACGTCTTGAAGTTTATTGACAGCTCAAAGTGTCTTGGCTGGGTCAAAGCGCTAGGCCTTCATCTTGGGCTTGCAGTGCAGCATCTCTACGTGAAAAGCGCGAAATCATTCCGGAATCCGCAAGCAAGCTGACAACATCCGCAAGAGAATCGTATGTCAATGTGGCAGGAACCATGGTGGACTGCGGCAGAAGGTCTGCATATACTGTGAGGGAGTTTGTGTCTGTCTGAAAAAAATTGTTTAGCAGAGGCACCTGAATAAAGTTTAATAAAGCACAAGTTCTCATGAGGATCTTCATAAAAATTCAGAGGGCTCGGGGCGCTCGGTATAAAATGGTGTTTCATGTGGAAACCTGTCAAGCAGGTTCCTGGAATTCTACATAACAAGGCAAGAACCGTCGCCATGACTTCACGCAATTAGAAAGCTTTCATGCGTACTGCAACCTGCATAATCAGTGCAGATCTCCGTTTGGGCACCTCAAACACGCTGATGGGATTGCATGCGCATACGAAGTTGTGAGTTGCACAGGGAACCCGATGCCAATTGCTTGAATTTGTTCAAGAATCTCGTGCAAATGACAAGTTTCAAGGAAACGCGCTCTGGGGTGGTCCGGGGTGGTGAGCAAATACACTGAAGGAACCGTCTACCCAAGAGTAAGATGCATTAAAGGATGGTATGATCTAAATGGGTCAGACAAATCAGTGGCCCTGGAAATGTCCATGTACGTGATAGGCAGGCTTTGGAGGGGTATGCTTTCACGGCTGCAGGATTCATATGGGCATGGCTGGAGAGGGAGAGGCGAGGCTTACACAAAGAAATGTCATTGTCAGGGAGGTCTGCCTCACCAAACTGCACTTCATGCAAAAATCATGAGACATTAAAAGGGTGCAACGCCAGGCAAGTTGTACGTGATAAGCAGGGTTGTGTTGGAAGATCTCTGTAAAAGAAAGGTGTGAGTTTTGTAGGCTTGTCCATGACAGTCGACATGTTGTGTAGTATCAGAATCACATGGAAACCATTTCACAACTTCCATCCTTCAGAATGCATATGTTCACGGCGTCCGGCTCCTGAGGAACGCCTGCAATCCTGATTCCAAAATCTGTATGCAAACACTCTTGCTACCCCGATGAACGTTGGAGAAATCGATCCCACATGGAGTCCCACCCTCAACGCTGAGACTGATGATACCACAACAACTACCAGTACTGTTACCCCTCTCCTACTCCTATTCCTTTAGTCTGACACTCATCTCTTGTCCTACTCCCTTCTACTCGTGCGTCTACTCCGACTCCTAATCATCCCACTACTACTACTACTACTACTACTACGACGACGACGACGACGACGACGACGACGACGACTCCTGCTGCTCCTGCTGCTGCTGCTGCTGCTGCTGATGCTACTCTTGCTGTTTTTGCTGCAGCACTCCTACTCCTACTCCTCTGATACTACTTCTACTACTTCTACATTTACTTCTACTATCTTCTCATACTCCTCCTACTACTCTCCTCCTCCTCGTGCTACTGCTAGCATCACGACAAGTCCTGCTCCCGCTCCAACCTCTAGAATACTACTCCTCCTCCCGCTCCTCCTACTCCTACCCCTACTCTCTTCTGATTCCCCCGCTCCTGCTCGACAAATAGCATACTGGATTCTGAATGCCAATTCTTCTTGGCGGTCCGAAAACAAAGGAGAATCCTAAAGGAAGCCTGAAACCTAAACGCACAGGAGTGCGATAACAGCCAGTGACAGGATCCATTGAGGCTTCTGAGCTCGGCACCCATCGAGGCATCGGTTTCGTAGACTTGGAGGGCTCCTCTGTTGCTGCGTCACAAATCTTCTCCCCATCCAACGAGAGAAAGCCCACAGTTTCTTGAATCACGTCTGTGCTGTCTTTATACCCTGTCATTTTGCTTGAAAATGGGACTCCACCTGAAATAATAAGTTGCCTGGAGCCGCACTCAAAAATGTCTGATGACGTCATCCGTTTGCATGGAACTTCGTAACACTCCTTGCTTTGTCCAACTCAGAATCTGACAAAGGCATGATGATGCAAAATCATCCTCAATTGCGATCATCGGGGAAAATCATCACAACCTTCCCTAGAATGCTTGAACATGCCTTGTAGCATTGCACAACAACTGCTGGCAGAGGCAGACAAGTGATGTGAATACTCAAGAGGAGAGAAACAGATTGCAAGGAATTTGTAAGCGCAGCAGAAGGAAGGCAATCAGCCGTCCATCCACACATGTTGATGTCCAAGGCAGGATTGTCTTAACTAGGACAAAGGTGCAGGGACAACTGAAAACATCAGAATGTATAGTGTATAGCATAGTGGTGAGTCAATATCATCATGCACCGGAAGACAGACTACCCAAACCCTCAAACCTTCCAGATTGCTGCGTAGGTGGA